ATTATATAAAATTTCTTTAAATACCTTCATAGTTTATATTTCGCTTCAACTGCGTTTTGTATTTCGCACTCTCACTGTTAACTAGTGTATATAAAATGCGAGGATATTCCGGATCCATAATCGTATAATAATCATATAGTAATCGTGAATTTTCTTTGACATTGGCATATAGCTTAATCGGTAAACGGTAACGGGCGCGTATTCCTACAGCTCGTAGAAACGTTCGTCGCAGACTAGCGCAAAGACCACGACACAAACAGAATACTAAACCAATGTGCTAAGTAAGCGCTCTGACCATAGAGTGCTCATCTTACACATATAGGAATGTATTTACAGTAATCCTCTTACCGCTGCTATTCTCTCTTTCTCTCCTTCTTCTCTCTGAACATACAGGGTGAATATTATATACCGGAACACCTGAATATCTCGAAAACAAAGCGTTGTATAAAAAAATGTTAAATACAAAAGTTGTAGGGTTTAAAAAGATCTATTTTATGATATTAGCAGTTTGACCTTGAGTTGCGTCATAAAGATCAGGTCAAGGTCACAATGATGTTTTTAAATGGATACCCCCATTTTTTATTGTATATTCTTGTAGCTTATCTCGAGAGCTTTCCAAAACACTATACTTAAGTATTTTTTCGTTAAGTACTTTTCGAGTTAAGAGGCTTCAAAGTTACGCTCTTTAGCATTAGCGCGCGGCCGATTAAGGCAAGAGGAAAATCATATCCGGCCGATTAAGGTAAGCTAAGGCAGAGAAAAACGTAAACACAAGCGCGGTAAACGAGAGCTGCCCTTGCGTTTACGTTTTTTAGGCCATCAGCCTTACGCTATTTACTATTAATACGAGCGCGCGTTCGTGCTCGTCACTACGGTATCCACGCGCGCTAATGCTAAAGAGCGTAACTTTGAAGCCTCTTAACTCGAAAAGTACTTAACGAAAAAATACTTAAGTATAGTGTTTTGGAAAGCTCTCGAGATAAGCTACAAGAATATACAATAAAAAATGGGGGTATCCATTTAAAAACATCATTGTGACCTTGACCTGATCTTTATGACGCAACTCAAGGTCAAACTGCTAATATCATAAAATAGATCTTTTTAAACCCTACAACTTTTGTATTTAACATTTTTTTATACAACGCTTTGTTTTCGAGATATTCAGGTGTTCCGGTATATAATATTCACCCTGTATATTATCCGTACTAATAAAAATTGAAATATCATCGTTGGACATTACTACCTACTGTTATGATTGTACATTTATATAGGATGTCCGAAATTTTTCTTGACACAATTCATAGGAAAGTAGAACAGATTACACGGAACAGAAAAAGTCAAATATCATTTTGCGAAATTCGCAAGTTTTTGAATAATTAATTATTTTGTGTGAGCAAATAATTAATTATTCGATAACTATTGCGAATTTCACAAAATGATATTTGAGTTTTCTGTTCCGTTTAATCCGTTCTACTTTCCTACGAATTGTGTCAAGAAAGATTTCGGACACCCTGTATAAAATGCTTCGAGATTAATAAATGTTTTATATTTAAAGAATTTGAAACATTTCATCAAATGTAGAATATTATAAAAACTGTATCTGAACATAACTGTTAAAATTATAGACTAAAGAGAGCCCGAGCGTTACCTTGAATAGTCGCCATGAGACTTAGGTCCATACTGTCATTCAACGACTCGTCATTTGGTCCCATTATAGCTCTAATCTCGTCCTCGTCTCGGGAATGATTCAGAGCCGAATCCAAACTACCGGCGGATGCGCTGAGAAGGGACGACGAATCCTCCGGGGATCGACTCCGCAGGGATACTCTATCAAGACTAGATGCCAGAAGACCCTCCGACTCGTCGAAAAGCTGTTGGGCCCTCGTTCTTCTTTTCGGTGGCAAAGGAGGAGGTGTACCAGAAGAACTGTTTTCCTCCGACAAACATACATTTGTTCTACAAGAGATCGAACATCGCTATGTTCAACTTTCACGATAACAAATGATCTATCTTCGTCGTTTTTGTAACGAAACGAGTGTTACCTGTCAGGTAGCGGGGGCTTAGGGGGTGGACTAGAATCCCGTAGAATCGACTCCGAACTGTGCGAACTGCGAACTAGACTGCTGCTCGCTGCCGTTTGCTCCAAGATTTGCCGTTCTCTCGGTGTCAAGGGTATGTCGGGCAGAGAGTTTCTTTGCGTTAGTTCCGACCCGTACCCAGAAGCTCTGCAATTTGTAACACGTCATCACTGAAATTCGTTTGGGAGGAAACATATCTCAGGCGCGTACGTACTCTCGAGTACTTTCCCTATTTCAATATATCCTGATACAGGATGTCCCAGAATAATCTACGAAACTCTTGTAAGAACGTAGAGCGGGTCGAAATGAATGTAAACGTCCTATACCGTTTTGCGATATTCGCAATAATAATTGAGAAATTAATTGGGAAAGATTAAGGAAAAACGCGCGCTGAATGATTGGAAGAGAAGCGCTCGAGCCGCAGCGTAAACCCAGGAATATAGCGCGCGGATGTCGGCGCGCGGCAATTAGAAGAACAATGTACCACTGCCTGCTTATATCGCTCCTACATCTCGTTTCAGTGCGGTATGACAGTAGGCGCGGTAAGGCCCGATCTACAATAGATGGAGTAAGGAGTAGGAGTAGGAATAAGAAATAAGCAGTAAGCAAATTGGCCAATTCCATTCTCACAATTCAAGAATAATCGATTGTGATTGGTCCACTTACTTACTGGTTATTTCTTACTCCTACTTCTACTCCTTACTCCATCTATTGTAGATCGGGCTTAAGACATATCGGGCGTAACGAAATAAGCATAGACAGTGATGCGTTGTTCTTCCAATCGCCACGCGTCGATATCCGCGCTGTGACTCCAGCGGTCTGTCCTTTACCATTCAGCACACGCTTTTCCTTAATCTATCGCAATTAATTTCTCGGTTATTATTACGAATACTGCAAAACGATATAGGACTTTTGTCCTATTTATGTCTTATTTATGTTCACCTCAATCCGCTTTACGTTCTCATGAGAGCTTCGTAGATTGTTCTACACTCTGTATAGTTTAAATTAAAAAGTTTAAATTAAAAAGTTCATTTGTCATTATCGTAAATTACCTATTGTTATTTGTAGTAGCCGCGGGTTTCTGCTTGTTTGCGATCTTTTCGTGTGCCAGGGCAACCAGATTTTTCACCGCTTCCTCGACTAGCCCGATAACGTGCGTCACGTTTTCGGTGTCCAGAGCAGAGGATTGATCACCGTGCAGTAATACATCGTCGCAGAGTTTCAACAACTGCGCCAACGCTTGATATACCTGATTCGTGGCGGATCCCAATGTGGAACTGCAAGAACGATAGAATATATAATATAATGTAAAGAACTCAACACTAGTATCATAAATTCAATCACTTCAATGAGTCATATAGGCGATACCAAGGCATGTTCACAAACTTTTCAGAATTTCGATATTGAAATTTTCTAAACAATAAATTTTTGTGATTGACTATACAAGGATGATAGCAACAACTTTCTACTATATTTTTATGTAAGAACTCTGCATTCTGTCAACTGTATATTATTCTATATAATATAATAACCGAAATATAAACATTCTGCATTTCTAAGAATCTTTTCAAATTTTAACAGTATATTTTAACAGCATATTAAAATCAGGATTAGCAAAATTCCACATTTTTTAGATAAAAATGACAGTGGTAAAAACCAGTATTTTCCAGGAAAAATCCGGCAAAAACTAATATTTTCTATTAAACAAATAGGTTAATTATATACTTTCAACCAGAGACTGAATCTTTTCCAAAATCATTCTTTTCTTTTTTTAAGTCAGGAATATAAATGTCAAAACGTGGTGGAAAGCATTAAGTAAAAATGATTATCTTTCTGCAGATTTTATTAATTTTGTCATGCACTTACATAATTATCCGGAGAATTTCGCGTCAATTGAAAGAGTGTTTTCTAATTTAAATTAAATTTATCCAAAATAAAATTTGTAATAGATTAAAAATCAATACAGCAAATTAGTTTTTTCTTGCAAGATGAATGGCAAACGCAAACCAGATCTGTACTGATAAGTTTCTAATTTTACTTATTACTTACTATGTTTTCTTCATTAAAAATTAATATAAAATTAAGTAGCACGTCTCCAAAGTTTTTGTTTTAACAATGTATTTTATATATTAAGTTAAATAAAAAAGCTTTATTATTATACTAATTGCGTTTTTTTAACCATAGGGATTAATATCATTTATTAATTAAAAATATATTTTTATGCAAAAATATATTTTTACATAAAGTTGTATAAATATCCCAAATAGTACACAACGTCCAATGGACGACCAATTTTGTTTTTTATTTAGTCCCAACGTCCATGAACCTAATATGGACGTTTTAATTACGTACATTAGTGGATGTACAAAATACGTTGACTTTTGTACATTTTAAAGACGTTCATTTTATGTATTTCTAAGGAACACATGTTGAACTCGCATATGCCTTTATTTATTAATAGTATAAGCCGGTTTCACCAACACGAATGAATTTAAACAATCGATTAAATTTATCTTCTCTATTGGAACAATTGTATCTGTCAAACGATGATGTAATTGGTTAGTTTCATCGAAAAAGTTATCATTACGAGTTTTTGAAAATTGCGAATAAATTAACCCCAAAACAAAAAACGCCCAAACCTCCGAACAAAAAAACCCCTCAATTTGCATTATTAATAAGAAACCCAACTAGCAAAACAATAAAAACATTTAAACATTTAAAAACATTTTAAAAACATTTTTTTAAATGTTAAAAATAATGAGATAAGTTCCCATTTTTCATAAAAAAAAAAACATTTTTTTAACGTTTGGAAAAATTTTTTGTTTTTTAATATTTAATAAAAGTTTGACATTCATTAAATATTAAAAAAAACAATATTTTTCCAATCCGTTAAGGAAAACATTTCTTAATGAAGAAAGGAAATTTACCCAGATAGCACACAATATTTATGATAAAGATTTATAAATATTTAAATCGAATTATTTTTTTTAAATATTACATAAAAATATTTTATATATATATTTATATATATATAATATAAATATTTCTATACATAAAGAAAAAAATATCAAAATCTTTATTCAAAGTATTATTAAAATATAGGCTAAATATTTTATACAATATTTATAGTAAACAAAAAATAAATATTTGTAGTAATATTTTGTAAATATTTCTATAAATAGTATACATAAACAAATAAATAATTATTTATAATTGATAAATTAATGAAAAAATAATAAAATCGAAATTTAAATTAGTAATGTATATTGAAAAAAATTGTATACTGAAAACATCAAAGAAATATATTTTGTTAAATATAATTTTGTTAAATATAATTTCTTAACTTAAAAAAGTATTTGCTAGATTTTAGAAAATATGTAATAAATATAAAGTAATATTTTTTTAAATTTGTGAAATGAGCTGTAAAATTATAAATTTTTAGAAAAAAAAATGACTTTCTTACAAGAAGAAAATTTGTTTTTTTTATATAAAAACTATGTTAATATAAATAAATATTTTCTTGTTTTAAAAGTAAATAAAGTACAAATAAATCATTTTATAAATTTAAATAAATTATTTTCTAATATTAAAAGTATCTTTTTTGTGTTTTAAATTAAAATTTCTTTTATTATCAGAAAACAATTTATTTAAATTTACAAAATGATTTATTTATATTTTATTTACTTTTAAAACAAATATATTTAACAAATATTTTTTAAATATACTTTAAATAATTATCTTATAATTATTATATATTTAATAATTATCTATAATTTATCTTTTTACATATTTCTCAAACATACATTTTACATTTAAAACATTTCTATTCTCTTCTTTTAAATAAATCATTTGTTTTCATACATGAATATACCATATGTATACATACAAAAGCGTCTCTCAGTCAAAATGATAGTGGCGCAGTAGGTAAAGTGAATGACTGAAGAACCAGAGATTTCAGGTTCAAATCTCGCCAATGGTAAGGAAATTTTCGAAGTAAAATTTAACTTGAATTAACGTGTGAAACAATATAAAGTAAAAACTAAGAACATATATATTTTAAAAATTTAAGAAAAGTTCAGAAAAGAGAAAAAAATATATAAATGTTATATATTTTAATAAATATTTTTATAATATTTATGATAAATATATTTATGATCTATTAAAGCTAAGGTTATAAAAATATTTATGAAACATTTTGATAAATATTTACAAAATATTCAAATAAATCTTATAAATATTTTGTAAATATATTTTATAAATATTTTGTGCTGTCTGGGTATCTCATTTTTTTACCGTTTTTAAAAATGTTTTTTGAAATGTCTTTTAAATATTCTTTTGGTGGTTAGGAACATTTAATATTCAAAATTACAAACATTCTATTTTTGTTCTAAGAACGTTCAGTTTTAGTCCGGTGAGTCTTTAATTCGGATATCTTTTGAACATCCATAAAAGTAACAACGGATGTTTTTAAAATTTAAAACGTTTGTGGATCTGAAATAGACATTTTAAATACATATACAATGTCCAGTACGTACGTTTTTAATACGTTTTTAAAACGTCTTTGTGCTGTCTGGGATATAAATAAAATTGTATAAATATATTAATAATTTTTATAGTTTGGCTAGTTTACTCCATTGGATAAAATCCGGGACAATGAAAACCGGAATTTACGGTTATAAAAACGGTTTTTTTCATTCACTGGATTTTCCCGACCAAACCTGATATTAATCGAAACATAAATCATACATATCTGCAATGAAAACAAGATTAACCCTGCCTGAAGTTGAAATAATTGAAATCGAAGTTAACACTATTTACATGTATCAGAGATAATTACGATATTATGTTTTCAATTTTAGCAACTAAATTACTTTTACAGTTTTGACGAAAAAATAAGAAAAGGATAAGAAGACTTGTGGAAATATTATTAAAAAATATTATTAATAACATGATCGTTGACCATATAGTTGTCAAAAAATTAATATGTAAAATACACAATAATAATGGTTGAAGTAATTAATCTGTGATAATTTTGTAATACATTATACATTATATTATTTTTAATGCCCTTTAATTATCTTCTTAAAAGTAGAATAATTAAATAATCTTAAGGATCTATAATCAATATGTAATGTGACGTGGCAGCCGTGGAGGCGCCCGTCTCAAGAATCCCGTGTCGATTAGTGGAAAGAATGTTTATCGCGTGCCGTGTCGCTAACGGTTTTCGAGACCTTACCGAGTATCGCGTTCCGTCGGATTGTTTGTTGTGCAAAATTTAGAACAAAGCGAAGAAGCGATTTTTGCGAGCGGAGCAGATGCGAAGGTCAGCGCGTCCCGAATTTTGTGCCCCTCGACGCCCCTTGCCGGCCACCAGGACGAGGAGCGGAGGACATCGAGGGACGAGGATGCAGAGGACGACAACGAGCGGAGCCCTCCATCAGGTGAATCGCACTCTCGTACTTTGGCGACGAAAAATTGTTATCGCGAATTATCGGGCGCTCAGCAATAGAAAATATTCTATTGCTGAGAAAGTATCGTAGTTACAATACAGTATCGCGTTTAGACAGATCAGCTGTATTTACTTTCAGCAAAGCAGCCGTCACGAGAAACCCGGCAGGAAAAAACGGGAGAGCCGGGAGAGACAACCAAGCGAACTCCCGATGTCAACAACGTCTCGAGACGAGAAGCGTCTCGAGACAATGGTACCGAAATCTGCCGATTCCCGACTACCGACCACCCC